CAACCTAGATCATGCATATAAATCGCATTTAAAATAATATTTGATAAGATAACACCTACACTTACATTCAAGATTTGTTTGTTTACTCGTGTATTATGTGATAAATGTTTGCTTGCTAAACCGTTAGAAGAGAAAAAAAAAGTTTATGTTATCAAACTGCTAATCTGGACCACGTATTAGTCTTACCCTTTCTTTATTCTGAATGTATTTATAAAATATTATACTTATTATGTTATCTAATTGGTTGTATTGTTGAGAGTTTGTCCAAACTTAAAAAGAGAAATATTATATTTAGGAACCACAAACTAAAGATTTTCAATCATTTATACTAGTATGTTTTTAAAGATAGTGCTGTTTTCGACAGACATTTTGTATGTTGTTTTTTATTTTTTATAAAGAGCAATAGAAATTTCGTATGTTATGATACAAAACAATCAACTTAGGTCATACATATAAATTGCATTTAAGCTAACTAACCATTCAATATAATAGAGTTAGTTTTTGGTATTTTCACAAAATCTCCTCATGTCTCAAAAATTACACGAACACCCCTTGAGGTTTTAGTTTGTTTTCATAAAATCTCTTTTGGTTGATTGTTCGTCTAAAAATTCATGATTTCATTGAAAAAACACTAATGCAAATAACAAAATTAAGATATAATCTTAAAGGCAGACTTTATCATTTGAAGAATTTTTTTTGTATAAAATCATCAATCTTTGGATTAAAAATCAATGAAAATGAGTTTTATGAAAACAATTTAAAATCTTAGAGATTATTCGTGTAATTTCTAAAATCTCAGGGAGTTTTGAGAAAAAAACCAAAACCTTAGAGAATGTTAGTGTAAATAACTCTAATATAATATGTACAATTACAATCAAGATGAGTTTGTTTATTCATCTACAACATCATGAGAAATATTTTCTTGCTAAACCGTTAGGAAAATAAAGAAGAGAAGTTTATGTTGTCAGACTGTAAATTTGGACCACGTATTTGTGTAACCCTTTCTTTATTTCGAATGTATTTATGAAATTTTATATTTTTATTATCCTAATTGGTTGTATTATTTGTGGAGAGTTTTGTCAAAACTCAAAAAAGAGGAAAAGGAAAGGACAAAGGCTCAAAACTACAAGAAGGTGTGAACGCTATATAAATGGTCAACAAGCTTGGCAACACATTTAAGCCACGACCAACTCCTAGTCCACCGACAGGTGTCCGTCGGCCAAGACACGTGTCCATAAATCAAGCAGGAAGAGGGTACGTGGCAGGTTTCCATTCGCTCTGGTGCATTCAATGAATTAGCCTTACGTCATGAACAGAACCGGGACTGTATGATCACTACCATAATTTAATAATTTTCATCACATTTAAATAAATTTACAAAACAAAATTTTTTTACCAATGTTATTCCTTTGAATATTATATTTATAAGTTCTATCATTTGAAGTTCACTATTACAACCTGGATAATAGACTAGTGTAAAAGTGGAAATCACAAGTTTACTCAACAACACATTAATTATTTTTTTCTTTGTCCTTTTTTTCAAACAAAGAGAGTTTAATTAAAGACGAATATAAAGGTTTATATCACTAGCTTAAAATATCAAAAAACCACTTAAGCCACACTTGGTCCCAAACATGATTACCACCTACTCTAGACACAAAGGCCGCAACCTCAAGTTGGTATTGGTTGATTATCAACACAAGAATTTATTTATTTAATTTTCTTTTTTGGGTATGAAGTCCGTGTTAAAATATAAAATGTCAAACTTAATTTTCATTCCCAAATAAAAAATAAAACTAAACAATAATTCAAACCCGAAAAGAGAAGGGAAAAAAAAAAGGAAAATTGATTGCTTTACGTTAGAATTTGGAAGACTTGAAGACAAAGGCATGACTTCAACAGCGAGAAAAACATGGCATCATGGAAAGAATTGGGCTTCGGGTTCCGCCCGACATGCCGCAAGATTCATTCGCGATTCGCTTAACCCGATTCGGTCAAACAACCAACTTGCCCGAAACGTTTCTTTTGCTCTAATCACTCTCCCACTCGCACACACAATAAACCATTAAAATATTTAGCACGCCTTGCAGTTTTTCTGCTCCCACGCCGTTCCGTAACCCGTGGGTCCCACGTTCCGTCCGGATCATGACACGTGGCGGATCTCACCATCATCGTAAGGCGTATCTGCTGGTGGTATTGGGTTGAGAAATTCTAGACTAAGTCTGGCGCCGCAATTGAAGAGCTTGTCCCACTCGCGTGGTCCTGCACGTGACATGTTGGCTCCCACTCCAGTGTACGCCGTATTCTCCGCCCACTCTCAAATTACGAACAAAATGATTGAGTGTATTTTATACGTAGTGTGACATGGTTGATGTAGGTATCTCGAATTGAGCCAATCATAACACGAGTATTGTGCTCGAATAGATGACTTTCAACCATTGATGCATTGTATAATATAAGTATAACGGTTGAAACACTCCAGACAATATCATATTTCATTATAACATATGTATTCATCATTTCATGTATAACGGTTGAATAACATATTGTGCTATAATTTGGCTATATTTGATATTGGTATATCATCAAGTCATATGGTATATAAGTCCATAATTTCCCAAGTTATTTGCTCGATCAATTGGGGAAATCGAATTCAAATGTAAATTCGTTTTCTGTTTTGTTATGATAAATCAAGATTCAAATGTAAATCCTCTTTAAATAGTTAATCCTACATCCGACTGGTTGCGTTCAAATCTTTCTCCTTCTCTTTCTAACTGTGGTTACCGAAAATAAAACCAAAGTTAAGAAATCCAAACCCAAAGTCAAGTATTTCCACGTTTCCAGCTTTACCATTTGTCTAGCTTCTGATAGACGAAATAGAAAGGGGCATCCTCCACCATCCGATATGTAATCATGACATCAGATACCTCCTTTTCGTGCCATCTCTCCTGATCATCAACGGCTGTCATAGCACCTTTATGTCTGTGTCACTCAAACTATGGTTGAACTTTTGTTTAGTCTTTTGGTACGCGCACACGACTTTCCATTAAATATATGATTGCAATTAATAATTAAGCTTGAAGATTAGATCGTGGAGAAGATTAGGCTTAATTACTTAATTAGATGAGTTTTTCATCATCATCTTCATCTTCATCTAGAGCTAGAGGCTTCCATTTTCTTAATCATTCAAAATTTAGAAACCTACACTAATTTAATTATCCTATAAATAATATACATGTTTTTTTTTAATATTAATATTATATACCTCTCAAATTGTCAACCCACAAAATGGAAGGGAGTTGGTATAGTGGTAACCCAATTATTTCATCACTAGCCGTCCATCAACTTCGACTTTCCTCACTTTGGTGAACGAAGCTTATTGCGGGGATAAGATTTTATATCATACTTGGCTATGTCAAACGTAGTGGATCATCATGCCTTATAGGAAGAGGTGTGGATCATGCACTAAAGGATGCATAGATAACGATTGTCAGCTGTTAATTGATAAGATCGATACCAATGATTTTTAATAATTTATACTAGTATGTTTTTAAAGATAAAAACATTACGTATGTTATGATATTAAATCTGACAATCAACCTAGATCATGCATATAAATCGCATTTAAAATAATATTTGATAAGATAACACCTACACTTACATTCAAGATTTGTTTGTTTACTCGTGTATTATGTGATAAATGTTTGCTTGCTAAACCGTTAGAAGAGAAAAAAAAAGTTTATGTTATCAAACTGCTAATCTGGACCACGTATTAGTCTTACCCTTTCTTTATTCTGAATGTATTTATAAAATATTATACTTATTATGTTATCTAATTGGTTGTATTGTTGAGAGTTTGTCCAAACTTAAAAAGAGAAATATTATATTTAGGAACCACAAACTAAAGATTTTCAATCATTTATACTAGTATGTTTTTAAAGATAGTGCTGTTTTCGACAGACATTTTGTATGTTGTTTTTTATTTTTTATAAAGAGCAATAGAAATTTCGTATGTTATGATACAAAACAATCAACTTAGGTCATACATATAAATTGCATTTAAGCTAACTAACCATTCAATATAATAGAGTTAGTTTTTGGTATTTTCACAAAATCTCCTCATGTCTCAAAAATTACACGAACACCCCTTGAGGTTTTAGTTTGTTCTCATAAAATCTCTTTTGGTTGATTGTTCGTCTAAAAATTCATGATTTCATTGAAAAAACACTAATGCAAATAACAAAATTAAGATATAATCTTAAAGGCAGACTTTATCATTTGAAGAATTTTTTTTGTATAAAATCATCAATCTTTGGATTAAAAATCAATGAAAATGAGTTTTATGAAAACAATTTAAAATCTTAGAGATTATTCGTGTAATTTCTAAAATCTCAGGGAGTTTTGAGAAAAAAACCAAAACCTTAGAGAATGTTAGTGTAAATAACTCTAATATAATATGTACAATTACAATCAAGATGAGTTTGTTTATTCATCTACAACATCATGAGAAATATTTTCTTGCTAAACCGTTAGGAAAATAAAGAAGAGAAGTTTATGTTGTCAGACTGTAAATTTGGACCACGTATTTGTGTAACCCTTTCTTTATTTCGAATGTATTTATGAAATTTTATATTTTTATTATCCTAATTGGTTGTATTATTTGTGGAGAGTTTTGTCAAAACTCAAAAAAGAGGAAAAGGAAAGGACAAAGGCTCAAAACTACAAGAAGGTGTGAACGCTATATAAATGGTCAACAAGCTTGGCAACACATTTAAGCCACGACCAACTCCTAGTCCACCGACAGGTGTCCGTCGGCCAAGACACGTGTCCATAAATCAAGCAGGAAGAGGGTACGTGGCAGGTTTCCATTCGCTCTGGTGCATTCAATGAATTAGCCTTACGTCATGAACAGAACCGGGACTGTATGAGAGAGGGACGTAACAATTTAAAAAAAGGGCAAGTGGGGCTTAGAGTGAGATAATTGGGATTAAAGATGCGATTAGCAGAGGTAATTAAGAGGCCCAGGGTCTTTATATAATGAGAGAAGAAGGCAGGTGCTGAGGCAAAAACACAGTGAGGACGAGTGATATATTCACAGCAGAAAAAAAAAGCAAAAAAAACAGTGATCAGAGCGATTGTGTTCTTGGGTTTTCATCTTTAATTTTATTTTCCCCCCCTCTCTGTAATCCCCGCTTCTCTGAATCCCTTTCTGTTAATCATCTGTCTTTCAAAGTTATGATTTTTGGGTTTGTTTTTCAAATTAACAAAAAGCAAACTTAGAAGGATTTCTCGAAGGCCAGGTGTTTTCAGAATCGAGATCCAGGTTTTATATAATTATTATTTTTTCTTTTGCTGCTTGGTTAAGTTTTTAGTTTTATTTTTCCTTTGAAAATCAGTTTGGAGGGTGATTTTTGGTCCCTCAAGGTTGGTTTTTTTTTTTCTCTTTCTTAAATTTTCTGGGAGTAAAAGAGGTTGTTTATTTGAAATCTCTTTCTTCTAAATTTTCTGGGTTTTGTCTGTATTTTCTGTAAAAACCCACTACCTGTTCTTTAATTTTGATAAGAACAGGTTGATTTCTAGGTACAAGTTTCAGCATTTTATTTTCCCCTATCTTTTTATCTTGTCTAAAAATTTAATTGCTAGTGTTTTGCGATTTGTGAGAGATTTGAAGGAGGCATGGCAGCTATAATGGATTTCTACAGTAGCAGAGCTCTTCAATCTTCATCAGATCCCTTTAGGGGTGAGCTGATGGAAGCACTTGAGCCTTTTATGAAAGGTGCTTCTTCATCGCCACCCAGCTCCATATCCACAACCCCTTCTCCTCCTTCAACCTCAAACCCTTTTCTTCCTTCTTTCCCTTCTACCTCTTCCTCTCCCTCATACAACAACAGCTACCTCTCTTTCTCTCCTTCAATCCCCACAACCACCACGATCCATCAGCCCAATTTGTACCAAGATGGTTGCTCCACCTCCTCCTCCATGACCCTATTTTCAGATGGGTTCTTTGAGCAGCAGCAGCAGCAGCAACCAGGCTCAATTGGGCTGAACCACCTAACCCCCTCTCAGATCCACCAGATCCAAGTCCAGATCCAGGCTCAAAACCAGCCCAACCTGGCTTGGCAAAACTATCAGATTCAGCAACAACAAATTACTCTCCCAGAAAACCACCACCAATCTCATACCCTCAGCTTCCTCAGCCCCAAACCCATCCCGATGAAGCAGGTGGGTTCTTCTGGTTCGCCGCCAAAACCCACCAAGCTTTACAGGGGTGTAAGGCAACGCCATTGGGGCAAATGGGTCGCTGAGATCAGGCTCCCAAAGAACCGCACCAGGCTCTGGCTTGGCACCTTCGACACAGCTGAAGAAGCCGCCTTGGCCTACGACAAGGCAGCTTACAAGCTCAGAGGAGACTTCGCTAGGCTCAATTTCCCGCACCTCAGGCACAACGGCTCTTCCGTTGGAGGCGATTTCGGTGAGTACAAGCCTCTGCATTCCTCCGTCGACGCCAAGCTTCAAGCCATCTGCGAAGGCTTGGCTGAAACCCAGAAACAGGGGAAGGCAGCAGGAAAGCCCAGCAAGAGGTCCTCCGCCGCCAAAGCTCCGGCGCCGCCGCCGGAGGTGAAGGTGGAGACCTCCTCGTCGCCGGTGATGACTGATAGCGACGGGTCTGCTGGTTCTTCTCCTTTGTCCGATCTGACTTTCGCCGACAGCACAGAGTTTTTGCCATGGGAAAACGCCAGTGGTTCTGAGAGCACAGCCATGTTGGAGAAGTACCCTTCTGAGATTGATTGGGCGTCCATCCTCAATTAATTAGCGTTAATTAATCATGTTTAATTGTAATTGAGTATGTTTTAGTTTGGTCAGTCAGTCTCTCTCTAAGTAAGTAATTTGTTTAGGGGTCTTCTTTTCTGGTGGCCACTGCAATCAAGTTTTTGGCATCTGCAGGGTTACACATTGTAGTCATTTTAGTCTAGTTTTCTAGTTTGTGTCAAATTGGGTTTGATGTTCATACAATGATGTAAAATATCTTCATCATGGTCAGCTGGTTTTTTTCTTGCTAGGCCATGAATGATCGAAGTTCTTTATAGATATGTAATATTCTCATTTTATGTACTTCTGTTGTCATATTATATGATCCATTTGTGTTAAATCTTTGGTTTTAATGTTTTTTTTATTTTTTATCTTTTCACAAATTGATATTCTAAATTTCTCTACGGGATGGAGGATCGAACTCGGATGCGAAAAAGTGTAATTGTGAGGAACTTGGGATAATTTTGGGATGAGGTTGTACATTTGTGTTCAACTATATTGATTCGTAATGGCATTTGCGTACACAAAATCTGGAAGATATTCAATTGAACATGTGATGCTGTGTCACTGGGTAGTCATATAACTCCTCAAATTCAGATTTTGTGATGGGCGCCTTGCGGCTAAGAATCTGGAAAGTCTTGTTCATTTGGACCTATCTGAATTATGATTTTTTGATGGGGGCCTTGTTGCAGCGAAGAATCGGGAAAGTTTTGTTCTGGTTTGGTTTCTGTAGCAAGTCACGGACCTGAACATGAGTTGGTGGATTGCTTCATCATTCATTGTTGCTTTGGTTTCCCACTAGATCGAACTCCAAGAATTACAGCCAACTATTTACCAAAAAGATTACTAGCAATTATGATTGTTACCACACACCGGTGATGGGGAAGTTTTTCTCCTATTTGTCCTTTTGAGTCGCCTTTTGTAAAAAGATTAACCTAAACCTAGTGTATACAATGAGTCTCACATGATGATTAACCAAAATAATTCGACATGATGATTAACCAAAATAATTCTGCTCGCGTGATAAGGTACGCAAAAAGAGAGTGAGAAATAAATGATGAGTGACGCTCCTCGCATTATAAGGTACGTGAAAAATATAGTAAAATGAAACATATATAAACTTTGATGCATTAGGAGAGAGTGAGAGAAATGGATGACTAACTATCCCCTAGTATAAGTCACACTTCGTTGCGTGGAAGTTTCTCTCACATTATTTTTTGTTTACCATGATGTTGTATTTCCTAATTCCGGCCAACTGTATAAATTGCAAACCTTGAAGATGCTTGCAAACGAGACTTTCATTTTTCTTCATGTGATCAATCATATAGTACACTAAAAAAGCTCAATTAGGGGTTGGTAAAAGTTAATTAATGAAGCTCCATTTTCAATTGTGAATATTAAATTAATATCAGATGAGGAATACTGTCCCAATTCATGCCCTCATGGGAGGACCCTGACTTATGTGTAAGCAAATTGTTTGCCTATTATTAAATTACACCAAAACAAAATGTTGCCTTGTTATAAGATAATCACATGGTGTTAGGAAAATAATCACTTCCATTAAGCAGTGCATGTGCTAAGTCATTGCTCTGTTTTCTTGGTCGCACCATTTTTGAGGGAGAAGCGATTCTCCTTCTCCTCCTCCTCCTGTCTCTCAAATATTCAACTCTGAATAAATAATTGACACCGTACCATTGGAGCTCAGCAGTCATTGGCTTCAAGTATTCAAAATCCTTTAGTTATAAGATGTCCACATGTTTGGTCAATGGTTATGCGTGCACCAAGCACATGCAACATTGAACTTTGATGTTGCTATTATCACCTTCCAAACAACATTATTTTGCATTCTCTAAGTTCAATTTTTGCTTTATATTTTTATACACAAAGAGTACATGATGACTGTTTTGGAGCGTAAATAACAATTACCAGATTTGAAACTTACTAGTTATTCAATCCTGTGGTTGGACTATATACCTTTGTAATGCCATTGGTATGTTGAATAAGCATTTACCTATCTTCTCATAATTGAGGCCAGCCTTGAAATTTAAGGGGCTTAAACCAAAGTATTAAGACACATATATACTTTTCAGCTATTAAGTATTAAGATAGACTCCATGCATGTTCATCCAAAATATTGCAATTTTCTTTTCTTAGTTTAAAAAAAAAAAGAAAAAAAGAAAAAAAAGACTTTGAACTTTGACTTGGATTTGCAGGAGCTTATAGCCCTATTGATAGAACACACTTCATCCTTACAACCATAACCATTGCAAGAGTTTTGATTCTCTCTCACCTTCCCGTCCACCTAACCCTAAATCAACAAATAAACATTTCTTTTTTTCTCTGAAACAATATGGACTTGGTTGGAGTTTTCTCAAGCTTAAAAGTTAGGAATCCCATGAGATTAGAGATCAAGATTGAAATATGATTATATGCAACCGATTACACTTAAGACTTTCTCGAGATCAACACAATTGATACTGCACAGTCATCTTTAATGCCCAATAATTTTTTACTGCTTAAAACGATAGGCAGAGTAAGTAGGGCAAAACAAATTGTTCTTATTCTTTGATGTCAGCACCATAGATATATATATATATTCATCTTTATTCTTATTCTTCCTTCCATTTCTTCCAATTTCAAGCGTGCATTTTATAGAAAAAAGGTCACAGCCACACGAAAAGAGTGATAAGGAAGGAGGACCCAAAGAAAAAGAAAAAGTCACCGTGTGGGGTATTTGGAACCATTTTTCTTACAAAATTAAAAACATGGGTTGATTCTAAAGTCTAGGTAGTAATAATCATAAATCTCTTTCAAATCAAATTCTCAATAAAATACTTGTGTTCAACACATAATATTCAAAAGCAATGGCATATAGGACTTGAAGAAGGGGAAAAGGTGTGTGAAATGGTTAGTGGAAACGGTGCAAAGGTTGTTTTGGACGATGGGAAAACGAAGATAGCCAATGGAATGGAATGGGAATGGGAATGGTTTCGGCATTTTGCTGTGAAAGGTAAAAAGGTTAAAGGTGATTAGATCAGTGGGGCTATCTTTAATCTGTGGATAAGCTGTGTGGAAGAATCTCAAGAAAATCATTCTAAATAGAAAAAAGCTTCCAATATATTGACGGAGATTGGAGAATGGACTGCCCTTTTTACCTTTTTCTCTAGTGCTGCCGACGCGGTTTGTGTCATTGTTTTTTGTTTTGGCGTTTCAAGGGAAATGGGTCCGTGTGAGATTTTTTTATAGGAAAATACTTCCCTTTTCACTATGTAATTAGGAGCTTTTAAATTCTTGTCAATAGTAGTGTGATATGTGTGCATAAATGTTTATTTTTGTGCTTTTGATAAATTATCTTTGCATATATGTCAAACTGTGATTCGCAGGAAAGAGAGTATCTCCTTATAGAGAAGGAGGCAAGTAATATCCTGGTAAGGAGATACTCCTTCCTGCGCTTCACACAAGCACTACCAATGAGTCAATGGGGTTCGATTCGAACTTGAGACCATTGGTATGCAAGTTAAGGCTTTTTTTCACTGGGTTAGACCCCACTATAAAGGAGAAATATTTTCATGCAACGAGAATAACACTTTTTGCTATCTCGGCTAATAACTCAATGACACGTGACATAAGTTTTCCGCATGTCATTGTGTTATTGGCTGAAGATAGCCAAATAGTGATATTCCTGTTATAAGTAAGTTTTTCTGCCTGTAAGGAGATACTTCTCCTTCCTACGTATCACACACGCACTACCAATGAGTCATGGGGTTTGATTCGAACTTGAGACCACTGATCTTCGAGTCAAGACTCTTTTCCACTAGGCTAATCCCCTTGTGGGATTTGAAACAATTAAGTTCTGAAGTATTGGCCCGTTCAACTAAACAAGTTCTTAAAAACATTCACCATGCAACCTAATTCCAGTTTTGCTACTCCAATAGAGTTTGGTTAGTTGAATAGCTTGCTTGGGAATGAAATCTCATGTCTATTTTCTGAGAGTTCATTCCCGTGTTTGAAAATGCCCGGTCTGAGACGTACTGGTCCACCCCCGACTCACATGCACAAACGATTGAAGCTTGTATTGACTTAATAGCCATAGAGGAAAATGCTACAAAAAGGAAAATGCTACAATGGTTTTGGTTAGTTTACTTAACCAGATGCAAATCCTATGGCATTGATTAATAAAATGAAATTCAGTTGAAGAAATGGGTAGAACTATGATGCATCACGAGTTCAATTTCATCCAATGTGAAAAAAGAAATTTTTTATAAAAAAAAAAGAGTAATTAGGGAGGGGTAGGGAGGGAGAGTTTCTGATTTTCCAATGAGATCCCGCAAGAAATGGAAAAGCCCTTTTTTAATCTTTCAAGCAGTTATGCACATCAAGATGGCTATTACAAAACTGTTTCAACATTTTGGCACTTGGCATGTCTAAATTAAGGAATTTCAACCTAATTCACTTGATCAAGCCATTCATCACAAAACTTTAGTCTCTGGTTAAACGATGCCCTGCCCAACCACATGATGAGCGCATTACATGCTTCCTCTTCCCTAGATTTGATTTTGTCCCCAAAGCCATTGACTGGCAGACCAACAAATAGAGCAGCAACTATGATGCCAATGGAACCACTCAACTAAATTTGCCAATTTCCATCTTCTTCTTGATTGCCTTCTGACCATGGTATATGAATGAATCTAATATCCCAGAAACAGTAAAAACCCCTGAAAAAGAGAAAAAAAAAACATTGCTTGTGCATCAAAACAATAAGGGAAGAAAAACCAGGAATAGCGATTAGAGAGAAAGCATTGTATAAAATGTTCCACGAGGCAGACTCGAGGTAGCTAATATTATAAGGAGACCTGCATTTTAAAAAGAGAGCCAAAGGAATGTAGCATGATGCAAAAGGTTTGGTTCAAGATGACTGATGACTAGTGTAAATGATGTTAATAAGATGGTTAAACAATAGAAAAAGGAAATTACATATTTAATAACTGAAACCATATAACTTCACAATCCTTGAAAATAACCAGAAAAACCGAAGATGGAAACTGTAAGATGTCGCTCATCAATAGAATCAATCAAAGATGGGAGGGAGAAATTATATTACCTCCTACTATGGCACAAACGTTTGTCAGGAAGTGCAAGAATGAAATATGCTCCTCTGTGAAAGTTACCTGCAACATGCAACTCAGCCCCATGAGACCAAAAAGAAAAAGAAAAATAGGTTCAACATGCAAGTCAGCCTCATAGGAATTTATGTTCAACAGCAGCAGCACGAAAAAAAAAAAAATATATATATATAAATCTCTTTACATTAGTTTTTTAACAAACTTTGGAATTGAATAAGCAGTAAAACCCACCTTTATTGGAGAAAGATCGTAGAAGAAAAAAACTCCAGGAAGGTACTGAAGGTTGCCTACTTCTGTACCCCTAAAATGTTCAGTCACAGAGAACTGCAAATTCCAATTATTAGTTCAGAACATGTCATCTTACAACAAAATTCAGAAACTGCAGAATCTTTTATTCTTTTCTTAGTTTGAGTTTACTGCACCTGATTTGATTGGATAGTGTGTCCACTCACGTCTGTATACACAGTAGGTACAACCTGCAAAATGAAAAGGATGCTTAAAATAATTAAAGAAAAAGGCATGATCTAATAAAGACAGCCAATGATAAAAGGCAACTATATCAGATGGAAGATTACGAGTGGCTGTAAATGGCTTCACCAAAAATGCGCTTTTCATATGTGGAATATATTGTATGAGCAGACAGGCAATATATATGTTTAAAGAGTATCTACATTACCATATACAGTTAAATATGAGGAGAGTAAGGGAATTAGGATGATTGGGACTCAAGATAAGATCTATGATATGTAACACAAAGTTCTTAATATTTGGAACCCATACACAATTGGCCAGAGGTTTATATTTAATTCAACTCAAAGGAGAGAACAAGGTTTTGGGCCAAAGTATGAATGAAGCAGATAGCCAGCAAGTTAAACCAGAGTCATCATTCAATACCAATTATGTGTAAGTTCTGTGTTAAGTCAGTTTTCCCCCCAATAGCATGCATTCACGTAAGACATTCCCAACTGTCAACTTCTAGCTGGAGTATGCTATGTAATGATAAGGGGGCAAAAGGACTAATTCTCTTTTATCTACAAAAATATCCGTAGTCCAAAAATTTCAACAAAAACATCTAAGGCAAAAATGTCGAGGAATCTAATAGCTCTCTTCCCCGCCCCAGCCCCCAGCCCCCGTTCTCCCTTTTCCCCTGCTAACTTAAAACCCATGTTTTGTGTGTGCATGCGCACGAGTGTGTGCATGCACATGCTCATAAATGTAGCTCTGAATATGTATTTGACATAATAACTAACAACAAGAAATAGTAAATCCTGTGAATTTAAGCTCTAAATCTTTCGCAAGTGGATTTCAAAAGCTGTGGTGAAAAGAAGTAAATAAACTGCAGACACTATACTAGTATGGAAAAGAACAAAACAAATATAAGACCCATGGTTTCTTTGGTTTCTTTCCATTAGACTAAGAATACCAGTTAACAAAATCTTGAGAGGCAACCCTGCAGGCACTGTACCTTGATAAAATATTGATACATCCCACTTGGTGTTGCTTGTGCCCAGTGCACGCTGATAGTTGAAAAACCAATATATAAGCATACATCAATAATTATGACGTATAAATAGCTAACACCTAGAGGAGTTCAAATGTTTAGAAATAAATAATGCTGTCTGGATTTGGAAATTAAGGAAGAGAAGAAAGCATACCCATCAAGAGGATTTACAACACCAGGGAAATAGTCTCCAAAAGACAATCTGTTGATCTTGTGACTAATCTGTGTCATGCAATATAAATTAATTAGGAGATTTTCTGACAATGCAGGGTGGAGTTTATAAAAATTGATTTCAAGGAAATTTGTTTATCATATAAAATTCCAAATCTCTTAATCTTTTCATTACAAACATATCACATACAAAGAAAACTAGAAAGATCCAGGATCAGGCCTTACATTGAAACTATCCTTTTGAAATGCCAGCAGATCATGTACATGAACATTTGATTGTTGAAAGCTTTTCCCAGGTGCAAAATGGAAGTTCCCAGCTACCTTGTTGACTTCTAAGAATCCATATATATTGCATCCTTCACCTTCTTCATCTTTAATTCTTTGCAAAAAACCTTCTCTTTTGCACTGTTATGCAACACATACCATTAGAAACACTAAATACATAAGATTAAGTTTATACTTGCATATAGGCATCACAACAATAAATATTTCTCAATTTTCCATTTCTCATTCGGATTCAAGATCTCAAGCTCACCCACCTGGTCAATCACATCTGGATTTGAAATTGCCCAACCTTTCTTTCGGTAAGCTTCACGGACGTCTTCACAGGAATTACAACAATCCTCATCAGCCTGCAGTAATAAACAAACTTAGAAAATTAAGAAACTCATAATTAAAGGAAATTCTTTGACTTGAACATCTTTGTATAGAATGATTATAACTTGCAATGAACGAACTTTCAGCTATATTTACAATGCCTCTCACAAGTGGCAGCACAAAATCCGAAATGAAAACATTGTCTGCATACAGAACGCCCAGGAGAAATGAAATACAAAGGAAAAACTACAGCAGTGGATGGAGGCCAACGTGACAGATATAGCACCCAAAGTATAAGCCATTTCTGAAATTGTTCCTCTTGGAAGTTGAATGTAATCAAGTTGAAGTAGTTGATTAAGCTTAAGTGATTGTGAGCTACATGTATTTAGACAACATTAAATTAGAAAATACAACACAATGAACAGAGCTTCACAGAAATAAAAGGCCATTTTACTTTGCATATCCTATTACAGTCTACTAAGGCATTGAATCAGCATATCTATATTATTATAGAAACTCTGTTGTAGGAAATATATGATAATGAGATGCTCAACATACTTCCACTATTTTAAGAAACAAGGAGAGTATGATAATTGAACCCTACCCCACTTCCAATCAGTTTCCTGTTTTTACTTTCATCTTCCTTCTCTCAACAACACACTCACCCTTATCCTCTGCAACCCAGTTTTCTCTCTTCCCAGTCCTAGCTTCCATCGTAATGCAAACATGTGTGTGAGAATCTTCCTAGTTTATTGTTAGAAAATTTAATTCTTTGGAATTAGAACACAACTGGATCTGAAAATAGCTTAAGTTCATGTGCCACACCGCAGCTGCATATCACAATCAGCATCATTAACAGATACAGGATGCATTAATAGCACCTATCTAGTTCAGCATTCCCCATGGTACTGCTCTGAAACAAGTACACAAACAAATTCCAACATTATATCTAACTCAAATCTAGCATAAGGACATACCGCTTCTGCACCATAACAGGAACCACAGTATGTCTCGTTGTGCTCAAGCCTGCCACCATGTCTCTGTAAGGGCTTCTCAATCTATGTCAAGGAGTAACAGGTATAAGAGAATGAGACAAAGATGAGTAAAAACAAAGAGAACTTATCTAGATCCTCAATGCAACTCATTTACAAAATTGCAATTGCAGACCAAAGGAAATAACTATCTCAGTGAACTTGTTAGTTCCAGAATATTTTTAATTGTTTCATGTATCAAATGTGATGCAGGAGCATCTAGTAGACTTTCCTAATCTAAGTGGGCATCAGCCAATGAGGCTAAGTTTTAGTTATATTAAATTAATAGGTTATTTTATTACTTGTTTTCCTATTCTTACTAGGATTTGGTTTAATTTCCTGTTCAGGTTTTTAATTTCCTATGTCAATTAGGTTTTCTATATTCTAGTATAAATAGGCTATTAAGAGACTCTTGTATTTAGTTTTTGTTGATGAATATAATTTCAGATGTTAGTCTATGACTCTATAGAGTTTCTATTGGGATTTTGCCCTAGAACTCAATTATCTTCATTCCAACTTCGATTCTACTGCTTTATCCTTCTATTCTCTGTATTTTGGGTATGTTTGGGTCGCTGGACAGCAGCTTATAGCCGCTGCCCTGCATCAAAATGTAAATCAAAAGATTCGGTTCCAAGAAATGTACTTCAAACAACATTATACTACTAACCTTGGGTGCACCAATTCCATCTGGCCTTGATTCTATAGCATTTCCATGGGAGTCTAATCTTTTTTTGATTATGTCATGCTTCTGCAATTAAATAAGAACGAGAAATTATAAACAAGTCAAACTTGAAAAACAAGCACAAGATGACGAGTGTAGGGCACAGTATAATTGTGTGACTGAGTAGAGAGCAAAAGTTATATCACATCACCGATCAATTGTGATACATACTACATCCAAATGCTGCTCGCCACTGATGTCCATGGCATCAAGACTTAGTATAGAACAAGGAAGGGCAGAAAAGGTTACATCAAACTGCACTCGTAAATGCCAAAAAGCATATGCACCCGTTAGTTTAAGTGAACAATCGTACCGTATCTCAAAGTTAGATTCTTGTAGAAGAAAAAAAAACATTACATTGATACGTAGTGTTTCTCCTCTTGAAGTATCTACCACAAGCTTTGTTTCCGTTACCGCATGAAGATATAACCCTGAACCAACGTAATGAAAATTTAACATATTAAGAACAACATTCTGACATACTAAGTCTTCATGCCAAAAAAGTTTCCATGATGATCCATTAGGATGCACACAAAAAAATGCAGCTTTACATAACTTGGAATTCAGAATTCAATCATTTTATGTTCCTATTACTACATTATTCAAACAGTGCAATTCAACAACAAACCCTAGAAAGCGAATAGATCTTCCTTCCAAAACCAAACCAAACAATCATGGAGATCTATTAACACGGAGAAATTGAATAAACATACACAAATATAACAAGACAAAACAGGAAAAAAAAAAAAAAAAAAAAAAAAAAAACCACACAAACCTCTCTCCCCCTTCCCCCAATTTCCTTTAACCCCAAAAAAAAAAAAAAAAAAGCATGACAATGGAGGAGGCGAGAGTGATGACGCCACCAGAGAGCGTGCGACTGTAGAAATCTTCATTGATTTTGGGGTAGGCGTCCAAATTCCGAAGCTTGCTCATCATATTCTCCATTTTTGGTCTTCCTTCTCTGCCCAATTTGTTTTCGCTAACTCAAAGATCTGATTTTTCTTCACGATTTATTACACTAATCCCTCATCTAATGTCTCTGAAACCGAAATTGAATCAATTTCTGAAGTTTGATAGAATTGAAACCTAAACACCCCGTCGCAATTCAAAGCCAGCAGAGACAGAGACACAGATTTTATTGAAGAAAAAAAGGGAAAATTGCGAACGGGGCGTCTAACTTGATTTTGGCTTTGGCCTTTCAGAAACGTTTTGTATTTGTTTTTTATATTTAATTATTTAATTATTTTTTCTTTTTCTTTTTCTTTTTTGGAGGAGAAATTGGAGGTGGGAGCTGTTTGTTTGTTTCTTGCCCACTTGCCAGTTGCCGGGAAATGAGAATTCGGGTCTCTTTTTTTTGCCAATATTTATTTTTTTATATTTTTGGCATTTTAAGGATTTTCTATTCTATTCTAGTCTGTATTTTCCGTTAAGTTTTTTTTTTTTCCTTTTTCTGGTTACATTTGTAGATTTTTTGGCCCGAAAATAAAATCCTTGACTCTCTAGATTTACGTTGGAATGTAAGAAGGTACCAATGAGCTGGGACAAAAACCCAAAACTTTAGATTTGGGCATTTCGGATTCGGGTCGAGTCTGCCGGACTGCGATTTCAGCTTGGGCTCAGATCAAGCTCACTCCATCATACTCCTTCATGGGCTGGGTTTTTTTTAACTGTTTTTTTAATGGTTTGCTACCTATGCTTTGTGGTTGCGGAATGAGACCAATAAAAACTTGGGCTGGGCTTTCTTTGTAGTTAAAACTTGGGCACGAGACACAAACCATTGAAAGAGTCGATATCGAAAATCGAAAATTGTGATATACTAACTAGGTCTTGATCTAGTGATACTTTTCTTCTAAATATTAGGAAGAGATCATAAGATTCAATTATCCTGCCTCCACTGATTTTAAAAAAAAAAAAGAGTATATAATTTTAAGTTATATTCGACGATATTAAAAAGTAAAATTATGTGATTTCAACTGATCAATTTAGATTGATTAGATGAGAGATGAAGTCATTGTCAAGTTTTCTTCAACTTAGCTGAGTTATCTTGAATCAAAATGACCTCTAAAGGTGTAGATATAAGAAGAACATTGGACATAAGAATTGATTCTTGCGTTTTCTTGCCAAATGCAATTAATGGACTATTTGCACCAAAAAAGTTAATGGAGTTGGTTATGCTTACTAGATGAAGCATGAATCTTTGTATGATATCTTTGAAATTTAGCAGCCTCTTTTGGATCCATCAATCAATTAGTTATAATAATTCTCTCACAAATCTGTGTGCCATTGTCCTTGTCATGAAAACACAGCATTGATAACTTTGCTTTACGATTTAGTATTTGTATTAGAAAGGTAATTAAATCGAACCGAAAGTTACATAATTTTTATGTAACACGTAAAAACCCTAAACCCTAAACCCTAAAAGTTCTCGTCCCTATTTTCTCTTTCATCAAGTATAAGGTCTTAAGATAAACCTGCCGACTATAAAAATCCTAGGGCTCTTCTTGTGCCACCTTAACCACTTAATTACAAATGATCGTGACCAAAAGGATCCTACTTGGTGCCGTAACATCCAAAATAATTCTGTCTGCGATATGATTTCTTTCTTCATTCTTTTAACAGCACGTGAAGCTCTACTCATCCAACTTTGGAATGCATTTTGTACTTGGACTTCTGCTTTGTCAATATCTTGGGTGCGCAGATATCTAATCCAAACATGGGAAAATTTGAGAGCAAATCAAATTATAATTTCCCATTTGCTATGTGTGGGGGGTTTGTCTTTGATTCCTCCAAATGGAGTTAAGAAGAATATAAAAAACACAGTTCAATTGTACAATGATTGTACTGTCAAATACTTTATTCACAACTTTGAGTTCCTAGCATAGATGGATGTGAATCATTTTGACTCAGACTTTTTAAGCCAAAGATTTCCCTAAATCCCCACTGACCAAGTTTTTATTTGAAACAAGAAATAAAGGCTTGGTTTTATGTCAAATCTGGCTTACCATCTTCTCCATATCTTTTCATGGACCTCAATCATTAAGTAATGGATGGAGGTAGTAAAAGAAAAAGTTATGCACGAAATTATTAGGGATCAAAGTGGAAGGGGAAAATGCGCGAAGATGACATGTATGTGACTGAGTGCAGCTGCTCTAACCCTATGTACAACAGCAGTTCATGGCTCAAACATGCATGCCCATAAGTTGATCGATGGAGTTTCATTTTGCAAGCTAAAATTACATGCATGATGCATGCATATATATATGAGAAACAAGAAAGGAATGCAACGTGCATATAACTTATGAGAAACAATATCCCATATCCGGGGTAAAACAAAATAAAGAGTTTTTCCAATCTCTTTGAAGGTATTCGACGCTAGTCGTGTGACGTATGTAATGTGGATATTTGCAGTGTGTTTGGATGAGTAACATGAGATTTCGAAATAGAAGAGTTTAAAAATAGATCAGATCTATAGCATTTAACATGACGAAAACATAAAAGAAATCATTTAATATTAGAAGATATAAATTCCCTAGTTTCGAACTAATAAGCTACGATTAGAATGCTTATTGAAAATTTAATTTGTCGTTGAAGTTGAATTAGGACAAAATACACCTTATCATAGGAGAGTAATGGATTTAAGATGTAACATCTATGAGAGCAATGCGAGGCAATCAATTCGACTTTAGACATCCTAGTTAGTGCCAAAGGCACTAACACAAATAAATGAGTTAAAGGCACTTTAAGATCTTGGCAAGCATGGGGAATTGATCGATGTGTTATCTATCTTAGCCTAACTTCGTAAAGCTACTTAATTTTATAGCAATGATTTTGTCTTAGGATGTTTCCATTTTGTCTCAAGTACAATTAGCTTAGTTACCAAAAAAAAAGTACAATTAGCTTGATTTTTTCAAATTTAAAAACCACCAAATGGAAAGAGAAACCAGGAGATTCTTTTAGTAGAATATTAGAGGAGCAACTTAGCTATCATTGATAATTTAAAGCAACTTCCTCATTATCCCATTATAATCAAGTGGAAAATCTTCTTGCATGCTCCATATGTTCTTAATTAGGCACTTTGTTAAGGCCTTAAGAGGAACATAACACAAACTACAAAAATAGTGCTTTTCTCTTGCACTCCTGATTTCACGCTCTCCTCTAGCATTGCTGGTCTCACGAAAAATATGTTTGTTTAAAGAAATCTGGATAACGCTTCTCTATTTTTTTTATGCGTGGATAGTGATAAAAAGTAGTAGAAAGAGAAAAGAAGATTGAAGAAACTAAAGAACTATGGGTGGATGTGAATCCAAATTAGTCCCATACATTGCACATTACTCAAAACCTAGACACATACACATGGAAAGCCACCTTAATTAGGCAGCTCCCAAACAACCCACTTAATGCTTAATTCAAAATCATAATAGAACAACATTTAGCTTTTGATATATCCCTACTTGTTCTTAATGCCCCACTTTACAAAATATCAAAATCCATAAAAATCTAGAAAAAATAAAAGGGGGAGAGGATATTCAGAAGGTGCTTGGTGGGGGACTAGGGTAAGATGAATTTTTAGAGTTTGAGTGGGGGATGGTGGGCATTTTAGTGGGCTTAGCACTAGAACATGATTTGTGGGCCCCCTGATGAATCATTGCCCATGTCACGTCAGATAAAAGGAAAGGGAGTGGGCCCATTTTTATATCATGCAGCGTCTGGTTTTTCTTTCTTAGTGGAGGCCCATTTTCTTAACTGAAAAAACCATTAGGTGTTTCTTTGTTGTTGTGGCAGTTTTTTCAGTTTTAGCTCTCTTTACCCCATTAATGTCTGCTGCCATTAGATACCCTTTTCTATTTTTGGCTAAGGATTTCTGCAACGATTCAGGGGGCTAGCAGCAATGAATGGCTCCATTCTTTTTCCAATTTTTTTTTTATAAAACTTTTATGTTATTTATTCATTTGGGTGGGGAGGAGTGGGTTATAAGTTATATGTAATGGAGACGGATATTTTTTGGTCATATGATTCACTAAAAAGTTGGCAAGTATATGGCTAATTGTGCTTAAATGATCACAACTTGACATTGTTTTCGGAACTTGGTAAACCGTGCGTTTTCTTTATTCATTTTCAATTAGTTTTGATTGATGCTTGATATCGTAGATATTAACTTGTTAAGCTCAACAACTACACATATCTTACGTCTTAATATATGTTGTTTACGTGTTTAGCTCAAATTAGGCCAAACACCGAAATTGCCTGAAAACTAAGTTCTCACAAGTTCATATTTATTTACTATGCAGTTAACACGAGAAGGTTCGATTGGGGGAGGAAAATGGTGGCGTCAGTGCTCTCTAGCTGTGTGTAACGTATGCTCATATAAGTCATATCTCATTTCTCGGTCTAGGTATCTATGTGCTAGGTATTCAATCAAATACATATTTGCACGCTTGGTGTGCTTGAATTGTATTCCAACTTTTACGAGGGAGCACGTGTGTTTGTGCCACTTTTGATGCAACCATCATTTTGATTTGATGCCGTTGTCAATCAAATGAACTAATTCACACCTTGTTGGATGCCATTTCTTTCTTTGATCTTTACCTTTCGGAAGGCTTCAAGCCTTCAACTATGAAAATAAACGATGCACTTACAAATTAGTATAAGTTTAGGATAAATTATAATTCTTTTCACTTTTATAGTTCAAAAGAAAATTTTGTTTTAAACATTGTAGTAAAATGTAAAAAGCTTAAGAGGGGTTGTTCCTACTATGTAGTGATGTTGAGTGGTAGTCATTTTTTAATTAGACCGTCACTTAACACTTTCAACAAACTACAATAGTGTTGGACGGTTACTTACAAATTCAAACTCATTTGAATAGAGAAGTGCAACGTCTTGTTAACAAAGGTTGTAACTTTTTTTTTACTTTTTGGCCTTAAAGAAAGAGTGAACAATTTGTAAAACCCTTGCACTTTTCAATGCATCCCTAAGCTTTCTTTGCCCTTAAGGAAGTAAAATGTCTTGGTTGCCGTTGCAATCCGAAGTTTGGTCCATGGAGATTTTGTTGTCACCGCCTAAAAGTTTTCTCCACGACTTTTGTCATCAAAGATACCACAACAAACATATATGTCCACGCATGATTATTTCCAGTTAAAAGAATCTTTGACCCATTAGGTCCACCGTCGACGTATATTATTAGTATGACTGAGATTAATCAAAATTGAACCTATATTT